AAAAACATACAGTCGAATTGAGTACCGTCTCCTTTTTGGAAGTCGGCAGAAAATGTGAAGGCTCTTAGACTCTCTTATATATTTAGGTAAATGATTATATAGAAGAAGTCCATGCAGAATACGCTTTTTTTAAACAAAACAGTCTTACTAATGGGATGGTTCAATTTATCTTTATGACGCTGGACATTTAGTTTTTTGTACAGACTTAAGTTTGACGTACAAATAAGACTAACCATATATATATATATATAGTTATTAAACATGGTATTGTTGTATGCCTTACAACTCTCACTTTGGTTAATTTTACAAATGCCTCGTAAGCATACATAAGCATGATATTATGATGCCATTACGGCGGATGTACCTACAACTTTTCCAAGCATATATAACGCATAGGAAAAACGATTTAACTTTATACACACACTGCTCACATGAGACTGCCAGTTCAAATTGCAATCTACGAGTACATTTATACCGAAAAATTTTATATTTTCCATGGTATTGATTTTTATCCTAGATAGTTGATATTTAAATTATTTATTTTATTACGTTTTTGATAAAATGTCATTAGTTTTGTTTTTTCTAAATTTATATTTAGATTATTTATGTTTAGCCAATTCATGATTTTCTCTAAAGCAAAATGTATGTTACTTTCTAACTCTATTTTCTTTTTACTAGTGAAAATAACTGTGTTATCGTCAGCAAATAATACTATTTTGTGATTAATGAGACTGAGAAAGTCGTTGATATAGATAAGAAATAACAATGGTCCTAAAATACTTCCTTCCTTCCAGTTTGTACGACGTATTTTATTTTATATTTTAATTATGTTTTTCCACAGCATGTAGGTATATTGTTTTTGGAATAAATGACTATAACTATGAAACAGTGCTATCTCCTAAAAGCAGCGTTCTGTGTTTTATTTACGTCTCATATGTATCGAAACGTTACTGCAGGCTACGAAATTAATTCCGAATTGGACTCGGTTTTCGATACGAACTCACTTTGATTCGATTCAACAGCCCTACTCCTGACAGAAATGACAGAATCGAATTCTGATCTGAATCAATAGATTTTTTTTAATCAGAGTACGAATCGGACATACATATATCCGAGATTCATACGGAGTATGAATCTCCGTCAATAATCGAATGGTGGTAAAAACTGTAATTTCCAGAATAGAAGTTTTCTGCTATTTGCGGTGGGTGGCGTAGTCGCAAGCGACGAGAGTTCTTCCTTATATGTTTTAAAGTCAGGCCGATTTATGATACGAGTATAAGAATATTTTAAGAATGGAATTTATGAGTTTTTTGAAATAATTTCCTGAGAAAAATACATATCCGGATATGCCTAATGGCATTGATAACGCTTGATCGAAACTCGATCATGTTCCTTAATTCAATTATTATTATTTGAGGAGTAAGATTTTAAAACAGCATCAAACCTGCTATCAGCAGCAGGTTTACGGCTAACTACCACAATTGAATTTGAATTCGATTCGTTTTACGATTCGAACTCAGTTTGTTCGGATTCCGACGAGAGAAGGCCTGCTGACCTTCACCAGAATAGATGACAAAACAAACAATCTATCATTTATTTAGCCTCTTCTCTCTAAAATTAATAGCCTACATACTTTAAGTGGGAAATACTTCAAACATTTAAAATAGCAGTTGACTATTTCAACACTATCGGCGGCGACGAAATTTCGATTGGGTATATATTATAAAATTTTAGGTGAGCATCAAATCCCTAAACAAAAAAGTGGAGGGCCCTTATAACAAAATTTTAAGTAAAAAACATAAGAGAATAGTGTCGTCTTATATTTTTTTTTTTACTTAAAAGTTTGATATATTTATCTGGTATGTGTGTTCCGGATTTTGTATACGTAGAATAATCTACCAGATCTCCGTTGAGCAATGAAATATCAGGAAAACTTTGAAACTTTAAACGAATGATCGAATAATTATCAACATCAATCAATATTTTTTCCCATCTAAGTTATCACACAAGTAGGTACCGAAATAAACACAAGAAAACATGTAATTACTTCATCATTATCATCCTGAGCCACCTGCATCCATCGACTTCCTGTATGTCTTACCTGGTCGTCACTCCATCTAGTGGGGGGTCGCCCTACACTTCGCCTACAATACGAGGCTGCCACTAGAGAACCTTTTTTCCCCATCGGTTGTCTGTTCTTCGAGCTATATGGCGGACCCATTGCCACTTCAGCTTACTAATCCATTGAGCTATGTCGGTCACTCTGGTTCTACTGCAGATATCCTCATTTCAAAGTTTATCACGTAGAGGAACCCCAAGCATAGCCCTCTCCATAGCTCGCCGAGCGACCTTGAGCTTCCTCATAAAGCCAACAGTGAAGGGCCACGTCTCAGTTCCATAGGTCATCACTGGCAATTCACTGGTTGTACAGTCTCGTTTTCAAATTTTGAGGAATACATGACTAGGTATACCTGTATTTACTTGCCTCCACCTTAATGTACAAAATTAGATGATTTTTCGATAAAATAAAAAACAAGATCGCAAATGAAAACTTGTACTATAATGTCAACTGTCAAAATGGCGTATTTAAAGCAGCTCCCTTTAAAAAAAGTTTAATTCTTATACTTATTCGGTAAAATTCGACGTAGGACCCACAAGCACGAGGAAGATTTCGAACCGTGTTAATATCTTCTCTACTGCGTGAGAGACCCATGCGATGGACTGATACGTATAAAAAAGAAGATATACAAGAACAGTAACCACTTATGTTAAATGTTCGATTACAAAATTTTTATTAAAGTTATTCCATATACATTTATAGTAAAATAACGGCAATGACAAAAACCATAAGGGAAATGAAGGAAACAAAACTTAAAATGTGCATATCAGGTAACATACTCTTAATAAAGTGCTGGTGTTAACGGTAAAACATAATAAGAAATAGGCAATTTATTATGTCGGAAAGAAATTTATTAACGAAATATTTATGAACACATATTATTATAGAATATCTTGAGAGTAATAAAGAAATAACAAGGAAGAAAATATCAATGTGGGTCAATTATAGTTTGCACGTGTATGCCTCAGCAGAAGATAGAAGTATTGAGTATTTGTACTTGACGATAAGTTATATGTATGCGTACAAGAACTATATGTAATATTATAAGCTTCTTAAAATATACCACATGCCAATCCCTTTAAAAGCGAGCCCTAGTAGATAGTTTTAGTCTAAAGATGTTATAGATATGAAAGATTATCTTCAAAATTAATAAGTTAAATTACATAATAATAGATTTTTAGTCGAGAGACTTAAATTTTGTGGACATAAAAAGAAGAGACTTCTTCTTCGTTATTAACCCGTGTAAGCCCACAGCTGAACATTTGTAGGAAGAATTTGCCTTAATCGTACGCGTTTGGTGGGCGTATTGAAAGTACGTAACACTCCTCGCCGACGGTCTTCGTACTTTCTGGCTGGCGTAAACGAGTTGGTTATACTGCCATATACATAAGAAGGTTTTTATTCCTTCTTATATATATTAACCTTTTTTCTGGCTTTACTCATAATCCCCCTTTACTCCACTCTCGGGACGAAATGATCGGTTCTTGTAGTAGCTTCATTTAGTTACAATTCAAAATTGTTTCTTTTTGCTACTAGATGGCGCTTTTTACAATATTTATTCTTTGAATAAAATAGATATAATGACAATACATTATTTTTTCGATGTAATATTTTTATTGCAGTACATTTTCAGAAATTTTAATTAACTTTTAAAATTCATCGTATAATTATTGTGTCTAATCATTGTGGCGTGTGAGATATACATATCAGTACATGAAGAAACTTCTATAAGCAGTCGTTGTAGCGGCGGCAATTTTGATCTACTGTGTTGATAATAAACTTGAACGAGAAATAATGTACTATGTAGTATTATTATCACAATTTATTTGGTATTTATTGTATTATTTTGACATCTGCAGCAACGGCCCATTAGCTCAGTTGGTTAGAGCGTCGTGCTAATAACGCGAAGGTCGCGGGTTCGATCCCCTCATGGGCCAGTTCTTTTTTTATACATAAATAAATAATTGTGAAGTAAATCTTTTATTCTCTTACGATCGAGTTCTCAAAAGTAAAATTATTTCTATACGTTTGAATACTGATTCTGTAACGCACTTAACCGCTACCACAGTTTTGTGAGTTTTGTATTAATATTATTAAAAAATAACCAATCATATACGGTTTCTGTTACTCTCACATTTTGGAATAAAATTCATGATTGAAAAAAAATCAATACTTAAAAAAGTTGCAAAAAGTATTTGGAGGTGCTGGGATTTGAACCCAGGACTTTCAGCATGCGAAGCAGACACTCTACCACTGAGTTACACCCCCTGCGATAGAAGTGTTGAAATACTTAAACACATTATAATATTAATTTATTATGTATTTATTTGATAGTTATACCAAATAATTATTATCTTTATATATATAAATTACGTGTCACATTGTTTGTCCGCGATGAACTCCTAAGTTACTGAACTGATTTCAATGGAATGTTTCACAATGTGTGCAGTTTGGTCCAACTTGAGAAATAGGATAGTTTTTATCCCGATACGTGACCTTCAATTTTTTTTATTGTGAATTTAAGGATTTTTTTTAGAACACATGGTCGTCGGAAAGGGCAGAACAACGTCTGCCGGGTTAGCTAGTATAATCATATAATTTATTAAGTTCAAAAGTCAATTAATTAAATCATCAATCAAATGTCTCAAGATCTCAAAATGAAAATGTTTCACAATAAAAAGGAAATCATATTTTTATCCATTTTATACGTTTAATGCAGATCTGCAGAGTTTTGGAATTTTAAAATATAAAAATCTTATTATTATAATTTCCAATTAAAAAAAATCACTTTACAAATTATAATAATTGCAACTTAATAACTAATATGCATTATTGCGAATATTAAAGTACCAGGCGTTTAACCTTTATTACTTCCTTTCAGGTATTAGGCATTACCGAACGGGAATTCATGGATCAAATGGGAGTTTACTTCGTCGGTTTTGTGTCCCAGTACGGTTACGATAGAGTACTTTCAGTTTTGGGCAGACATATGAGAGACTTTCTCAACGGCTTGGACAATTTACACGAATATCTCAAATTCAGTTACCCAAGGATGAGAGCACCCAGTTTTATATGTGAAAATGAAACAAGACATGGACTGACCCTACATTATAGATCAAAGCGAAGAGGATTCGTATATTATGCGATGGGTCAAATAAGAGAGGTAAAATTTTAGTTTTCATATATCATAAGGTACGTGAGGGTAATATGGTCATCTTAAGCTTTGCCGCACTATAAAACCAAAACTAGCAGGAGGACCGAGACAAAAACACAAAGTAGTTTGTTCTAACTCGTTCTTCTAAATATATGAGGAAAAAACTAGCAAGCAACCTTTGGCAATAACTGGGAACACTTCTGAAAAACAAAAGTTTAAAAAAAGTAACTGCACTACACTATACTAAAATCGACTAAAATTTTTACTATAATGTCAACTGTCAAAAGGGCATGGTAGCACCCTTTATTATTTAATTGACTGATGAAGAGCTATCGTATCATAAAATCTTTTATGAAAACAATGCTGTAATTTTTGAATTGTAAGAAAGTGACTATATTAACCGGATGAGCATAATACCCTCGCGTTCTATAGTAGAGTTTAAGGCCTTCACTTGCCTATACTCACAACACTTAATGGGTGGGTTGATGTGCGCAAGACCAAGGCCAATATCAACACACTGGGTTCAGGACTTTTACATGGTTTTTACGGCATCTATCGGTTGTTATAACATGTCAGCGTTTCAGCATTGTACATTTAAATAATAAATAAATTGTGTGTATTTGAATTAGGTTGGTATTTGGAATTTGGATTAAAAATTTAAGTATACGCGTATCGAAAAGATTGGTCGCTTCCTTTGTCTCGAAAATGGGATAATATGTAACTACGATTTCGTTACGGGAACGAAAAATGGTTACCGCTGATATAAGTACACAACGGTTGTTTTTTTACCAGATATAATAACCGAACTTTGTAGAGGTAGCCCGGAACGTCGCATAATTCTCCATCACAATAATGCGAGCTCGAGTTGATGATTTATCCTTCGTACGGTCTTGATTTGAGCCCAAACGATTTCTGAAAACCAAATATTTATTTTGCGTGGTCACCAGTTTGAGAAATCAGAAAAAACAGTTGAAGCGGATGCTTTGTATAAATCAGTCATTTTGACTGTGACAACTTCAGACTAAATATGTTCGAGCGAAGAAAAAATGTATAGAAATAGAGTGTAATGACAGTGTAAGAATATCCACTACCCTAATAGATCGTTCTGTGGGTGTTGTAAGAGGCGTCAGAGGAAAAAAATAATAGGTATAACAACTAAGAATAAAGAAGTTGCGGTTGCCAACACGCCTGCCAATCGTCGCAAATATAGTAAAATGGTAATAGGGTGAGGCCAGCAATGGACTTTTAATAGGTTGTAAAAGCTGTAACGGTAGATGCAGAATAAGAAATAAAAATAAATTTAGTTATTTAATGCGTGGTCTTTTTATGGCTGATCATTTCAGTTTCACCTATTCAACTATATAAGTAAATTAGTAGTTAACAAAAAATGTTTGTTGTAGTCAATAAATAATCGCAGTGGCTAAAACACAAAAAGAATCTTTGGAGGCGCCGGGTATCGATCCCGGTACCTCTCGCATGCTAAGCGAGCGCTCTACCATCTGAGCTACGCCCCCAGTGATTTGTGATGCTGAAATTATTTAATCAATACTACGAAATAAAACTATATTATATCAACAAAATTATTAATAAATAAAAAGTCCGAAAAGTCGAGAATTAAAAAGTTAAAATTATAAAATCCATAAAATTCGTTTTATTGCATTTTTAGTTTTCACGTAAATATAAGAAATCATTATGAGACACAGTTAGTTCCAAAAATTGTTTTCTTCTAGGTAGCTCGACACTTTTACCACAAGGAGATGCGAATAGAGTTGCTTAGAGAGGAGTTGCTTTTCGACACAGTTCACGTCACCTTTCAACTCACCTTCGACAACAGGGCATTCACTTTAGCATCACTAGCAATGACCAGGGAAGAAAAACATCTACCTATAAGCGCTTCCGTGCTTTTCGAGATATTTCCATTTTGCATCGTCTTTGGGTAAGTATAAATAGAAAAATATTTTATTAAACATTTAACTAACAAACGAGCTGATAACAACGACCTGATATTAAGGCCTTTGGATACTTGCAACCACTTCAAATAAAGAGGGCTACATATGCGTTGTTATCTCTAAATACTGTGATAGAAGCCTCACAGCGTCACAGCCCTGCTCTCCACATCCTTTAGATCGAATCGCTGCAGAGGCTGCAGAAACTACGTAATTTAGGGAAAAAAATTAAGTTATCCTTCAACGCCTTTGAACGAAACTTGAAAGATTATTTTTTAAATAAAGTTCTGAAACGTAAGCCACCTCTCGTAGTGCTACTTATATTTAATAAAAACCGTAATTGATACCATAGTTACATTATACAATAGGCTACTTTCTTATTACTTTTTACACATGTCAGTGTGTAACCGGTTTTAAATTGATTAAAAATACAAATAATTGTTCCGGGTGTAGATGTTTGTCCATGTGCAATTTATGCATTTGAAACATTTCTAGTATACTAGAAAAAATATACATAACATTTGAAATTGGTAATGAAGCACTTTCTTTATAGTGCACTCTATACTTTATAGTCTCATTGAACACAATGAACTGCGATGCGACATTCCATGTTGCAGCATGTGCTGTAATTGTGATTTAGTTATATTAAGCTTTTATTTGTACCAAAATATTTTTTTAGTTTAAATGAGTAATGGTTTGTCACAGGTTTATCATAAATGAATTTTTCATAAAAAAACAAAACAACTTTGACTCTAAACGTACATTTATCTTTATCTACCGACTTCAAAAAAGGACGAGGTACTCAATTCGATATATATGTTTTTTCGATATTCGATGATTCTTTTTTTATTTGAAAGCTGGTTCTTCTCATGTGGTCCCATATTGATCAAGGTCTTATCAATAGTTTTTGAGTTATTCTTAATAATTTATATTGAAGTCAGTTGTACAAAAATTTTAATTTTAAATTATTATACATTAAAATTTGTAGTTTTATAAAAAGTACATATTATGTAACTTATTTTTCCTTCAATAACTATAGTTTTTATTGTATATTCAGAATATCCTCAAATATCCAAATCATGTAAGATAGCTGACTAATCATCACCATGTAAATATACGTGGAAGTTTATATTTTACTTACTCAAAACAACTAGGCTTAGTTTTAGTTATTTACTCGATAAATACACCAAGTAAAAGGGAAAAAAAGTAATATTTAAAACAGATATTTTTTCAAATAAGTAAAAATGCTATATTATGTATTTCTTAAATATTGCAATAACTAATAAAATGAAATCATTTATTTGCAATCCAAGTGTACATAATTGGTCTTAAATTAAAAATGTGCTTACAACTTAGACGCCCTTTTCAGGCACTGCAAATTTGACAAGGGCACTGCTTATATACTATTGACATACTTACATAAAATATAATCAAAAGTTAGAAAAAAATATATAAAAATACATGATAGTGTTATTTTTTATCTACATAATCTTCTACTGAGCAGAAGGGGTTTTGTTTTAAATATTTACTGAGTCTTGATTTAATTTTGGTTAATTCTGATATATTTTTTATTTCCTGTGGTAATTTATTATGTACTTTTATTGCCATATAGTAGGGGCTTGTATTTAACATATTTGTTCGCGACTATGGTAGGTATAATTTATTTTTGTTACGTCTATTTATGTTATGTGTATCTTTAATCTTCTTAAAAATATTATTATTTTTGTGGACAAACAGGCATAGATCATAAATGTACATACAGGGTAAGGTAAGAATATTTAGTTGTTTGAAATACGGTCTACAGCTAGTGGTGTTATCTATCTGGGCTAGTATTCTAACGCACTTCTTCTGGGTAATAAAAACTACTAGAATATTGATATTGAAGAACAAAACCGATTATATTAGTTATTGATAGGCATTATAAGACCACATATTATAAAATGTCATACCCGTATAGTTACACTCTTGTATGTTGTTCTAATATATTTAGCTTTTAGATATAGGATATAGGTAATTTAAAGCTAGTGCACATAAGTAATAAAGCGTCATTATATAATATGTACATTTGAGTCAAGGAAGATAAGGTCAGACCACAGCTATTAATTTAAACAACACAAACAAGACATGAAATTAATACCAAAGTTCTACACACAATTTAGAGGCCATACTTTAAAGGAGCTATAGTTAAAATACTGTAATGAATTTTGCGAGATCTTTGGTATTGTGAAAATTACGAGTATGAGTGTGTTGTTTACAAGAGATTTCTTACGTAATTGGTACACATTCCACGTCTGTATTCATCATCATTTCGTACTTTCACAGCAGCCTGTAAGCAATCTACTGCTGCGTGTTCTTTTTTATAGGAGAGGCGGTAAACGAGCATAGGGCTCACCTGATGGTAAGTGACTACCGCCGCCCATGAACAACTGCAACACCAAGGGTATTGCAGGTGCGTTGCCGGCCTTTTAAAAAGGAGTAAGCTCTTTTCTTGAAGGACTTGTAAGAAGTAAGCGATCACCTTATGCTTATGGTTAGTCCATCTGGGTAGATCCCACCCTATTAACTATTTGTGCAAACCGACAAATAGCAGTGCGTATACTTTGTACTGGTCTGAGAGCCAGTATAATTACAGGATACAGGATGCAGGATTACATCTTAATCCTAAAGATGACAACGGTTCTGTAGCCTGCTTTATTTGAAGTTGGCAGCAAGTATTCATGAAATGCAGTAGTCACTTATCATCACTTATTATACGTGGTAGAGCCATGCTGCAGCTATATTAGTAGTATAGTTGTAGCACGAATGGTTCACCTCGATCGGGGAAGGACCACGCTCTCACATAATGTGAGTGCTCCATGCACGAAGTGCTGTTTACACAGCGCTCGGTGCGTAAAGCACTCCTCTCCCTGGACGTCAACAATTCGAGTGGGCTTGATGGAGTCCCACCTATTGTGCTGAAGACGTGTGCTCCGGAGTTGCCACCGGTTTTAACGCGTCTTTTTCGGTACTCCTACTCACTAGGCGTAGACCCGAAGTCATGGAAGACAGCTTTAGTGCACCCGATCCCTAAAACAGGCGACCACTCAGATCCGTTCAACTACAGGTCTATCGCTATCACCTCCTTGTTCTCCAAAATAATGGACACCATTGTTAACAGCCAGCTCATGCGGTACCTTGAGGATCACCAGCTGATTAGTGACCGCCAGTACGGTTTTTGTCGAGGTCGCTCAGCTGGTGATCTCCTAGGTTAGCTAACCCATAGATGGGCGGAGGCAATGGAGTCACAGGGGGGAGGGGGGAGCTTAGGCCATTAGTTTGGACATAGCGAAGGCTTTCGATCGGGTTTGGCACAAACGCTTCTTTCGAAGCTCCCTTCCTATGGGCTTCCCGAGAAATTGTGCAATTGGATCACGAGTTTTCTTGCAGATCGGAGCATCAAGGTCGTAGTAGACGGTGCATGCTCCGATTACAAGCCCGTTAACGCTAGTGTTCCACAAGGCTGCGTGCTATCACCAACGCTGTTTCTTCTGCATATCAATGATATGTTGCAAACCAGTAACATTCATTGCTATGCGGACGACAGCACTGGTGATGCTTTATACACCATGAATAACTGCAACACCGGGTTCCCCTGGTGTTGCAGTTGTTTATGGGCGTCGGTAGTCACTTACCATCAGGTAAGCCGCATGCTCGTTTGCGCGCTCTCCTATAAAAAAATCAGAACAATCATACAAATATTTTTTGTTGGTTTCGATACAGCCAAACTCATAGATAAATATTGGTCTATAGGCACTCTCCCTTTACAACCTATCCAAGTCCGTCGTTACTCTTCAGATAAGAGGTAGGCTCATATCTGCCAAAAATATGGGCACAATCATTACACAAACATACCTCAAAATAATTATTAACCGTTCCTTTGTCACCGTATGCCGATTTGTGAATTTTACCATACGATCACGTCGGTGTCTTAACAGGTGAAAGAGAGAAACTGAAACAGGAGATAGGCAGCAGCATCTTCCTGATAACAATTGAAAAAAAATGCCAACTTACCAACGTCGTCAACTTACCGTGTAGTGGCGGTGTAAGAATATCCACTACCTCGTATCGTCCCGGGGATTTCGTAAGAGACGACAGAGGGAAACAACCCAGGATATGGTCAGCAGCCTCTACCCAATAACAACTATAATATAAAAAACTGCGTTTGCTATCCTGCTTGCCAACCGTGGCAACTATGGAAAATATATACCTATAAGGCAATCTATAGGGAAGGCCTTTGCTCAGTAATGGACTTTTAACAGGCTGTAGTAGGCAAACGGGGTCAATATGGAAAATGTCTACCTACTAGGCAATGTTTATATCTATAGCGGTAGTTCAGCAATTATGCACTCACCGTAAATTCCATAGTGCGCGACCAACCCAAGTTCGATCCTTACAAACCCCAATGAAATTGTTAATTGAAATTTTAAGTGCTATTTTATCATCCAGCCCAGCGGCTAAGGTAAATATCGTCTGGAAACCTGCATGTCTGAGAAACAAAGAAATCTAGGACACGTCAAGTTCGTCACACGCACTGAAGCAGTGCAGCGGACCAACTGCCTTACAACTCTTTTCGAAATGAGAGGAGATCAGTGCACAGTAGTTGGACCTATATTGGTTTTAACTTTACGTTCTGTACTTGTTTATTTAGTGTCTGTGTATGTCTAGAACCATCTAGTGATATTTTTTTGTAACAGATCAGACATGATAGTCCGCAGCATCGGCAACTCTCTAATGGTGATACTTCCGGATTTAGTGGGCAAAAAGATCACGAACTGGTTCGACTTAGTGCGACCTCTTATTGCGTTTAAGTTTGAGACTGTAAGTATAAATTTAAAAGCGTATTTTTTAATATTGTCATTATTATTCACAAACATAAAGTTCAAGTGATGAAAGCACGCTAATAATGACCAATTTTTATTTTCGAAAAACCATACAGTTATTATTATCATAAGGTCATACTTGTCGCCTAATTGTGTCAAAAAATATAGGCTTCCCAATTTTACGCTGAGGATGACCACCGTGGGATTTAGTCGGTAAAATAACCTTGGCCTGGTCTGGCTACTCTTAAAGGTGCCCATGAGCTACCCACGATAAAAAGGCTTATTAGTTCTCCTCTAGACGAGATACTTATACTTAAAACTTTGCTTCAATATTATTTACAAATATTATTTTTAAATAGTTTGTATTTTCTATTTGTCAATATTATTTACAAATAGTAGATATTTAAATTGAACCCTTCCTGATATTGCAATTTTCTACTAAAATTAGATTACTCCTAGTGATTTCTTTCCAAACACATCTTTCCATACATAATCCGGTAAGGAAAGACAGAATGATGGCAAGATGTTTTTTTATTAACCTACGCCTTTGCGTTTGCGTTAACATCTGCGACTACATCATCACTTACCATCAGGTGGAGTTATTAGTGAAGTTTTGGGTTATAATAATTAAAAAATATTAATTTTAATATTTCACATAAATCGTAACAATTAACCTTTCTTCACATAATAATAATAAATTTGTTAATAATAATAATTAATGTGTTATTACATATTTCTCCAAAGATCCTAAACCGCACAAACAATATATTTGAACTAGTGACGGTAGAGGCCGTGATGCATGACAAGGCACCGGACAAGAGGAACGAGCTCCTGCGTCTTTCAGACGAATCCGATGGTACTACTGAGAAAAATTTAAGGCTTAAAGGTATGTTTAACAAAATATTTCAAATTTATGAAGGTTCAGGAAACTTCTATTCATATAAGAGTTTTTATTCGCTTTGAAGTATTAACTCTTTAGTGTTGAATATTTTTATAGAATGAGATTTACAAATCAGAACACAGTCCACCTGATAATGGTAAGTAGATATCTACATCTTTCCTTGATTAAGAATCAGAATGCAAATGCGTTGTCACTTCTGTGCACTTCTCGAATGACTCGTTTCCACGAACAAGGGTATCTGGTTCTCATTTCATTCATTCACTATACGAAGCACAGTAGCATTAAGTTACTATCTCACACTGGTATTCTGGGAAAACGTGATCCTTTCCCGGGCGACCATAATATAGCTGCAGCATGACCCTACTAAGTATAAACAGTTTTATGACAGTTGCTGCCTAAGAATAAGTGTGACAAAAAATAGCACACAACATACCTGATGGTGAGCGGATTTTGTGGCCCATAGACCCTAGATGCATGGGGGTCTTCAATTAATTATGAAAATGAAAAAGGCGTTGTCACCCCTAAAGAGTAAGATAAAATACCTCGTCACCAATATAAAGAGTCACTTGTATTCTAGCTCCAACCCATTCGTACTGCAGTCAGTATACGCTGCAGTGTGGCTCTCTCTTTACTCTGTGTACTCTTTACTCTGTGGCTCTACCATGTAACATGGATCTCGTAGGCTGCGTGTTTTCATCCCCATAATTATTTATATTGTCCTATAATGTTGCGAACTGATTCTCTCTCAATCTCCTTGTCTTAAATCAATAACGGGGTAACATTTCGTATGTACCAACGAAGTAACTCCGTGCTTCCGACCAAAGTTAATCTTCTACGATAAGATCGGTGGTAGACTAAGGTCCAATTTCAGAGATAAGGAGATAATTATTTTATCAAAACAACCATACCAGAAAACCGATTATTTGTGGTTTTGCACAAATATTAATTCGAACCTCCACTGGACCAGAGTCATCATCAAATGAAGAGAAAGAATTTGATATTCTTGTCGTCAAGTTCATCATCAATTTATTTATGTATATAAAACGCTCTTACTACATAGAAGAAAATATAAAATACTAATGCATTGATATTTGACCTCGAGTGTTATTTTTAAATGCTACAAGAGGACATCGAACTATGCAGGAGAATATTAAAAACTGGCAAGCCTATAAAAATGTAGACGCCACGTAAACAGACGTAACAAACAAATAAAAAAACAAATATATAAGAGATTTTTTCCACCTATGATGTACTGACTCATCACGATATCTCTGGAAATATAAGGCCTAGAGACTTGAAATTTTGTAGCAATATTCCTTTTGCCGTGTAGAGGTAAGCTAATTTCACGAAATTCCTGATTCAGAAAAAAAATCACATTTTGAACCTATATCTCTTATAGGTATTATTTTAGTAACTTGTTGGTCAGAATATTCTTTTTGGCATGTGTTCATACCAGGAACGGATTTTATAAAATTCCACTCACAAAGAGCAGTGCGGGGGCGTTAAAAAATCTCTATATATAAAAATCAATTGCTGTCTGTTAGTCTCGATAAAACTCAAAAACGGCTCAACTGATTTTGATGAAAATGTTTGTGTGTGTCGGTGATAGGTCGGTAATAGGTCGAGGAAAAAGTTTCTACGCATTGAGTTATATGTACTCCGTACTAGAGTACTGTATGCATGCGCGGGAGTAGTAGTCGCGCATTCGCGAAGACTTGTTTAATATAAAATAAGATATTAATTTAAAATAAATATAAGAATTTAATATAACATATCTTATTTTAATCTAAACAAACATATTTCTAAATAAAATGTAATAATAATAGTTTGTACGGATTGCAGTACAGTTCAGTTGAACATAGTCAATATTCGGAATGCGAAATCTAGTGCGTAGTACACATATATCGATGTTTCTACGTATTTTGTTTGTATATGATTGAAGAAAAATCTCATTGGTTGTACTGTTTGTATCTGGCTGGTTTAAATATCAATATATATAGGACAGTAAGAAAAAAAAAATAAAACAATTTCCCGCCATTTTTCAATTGTTTTCCTGCCCGCCAAAATTAGTGCATCTAACGAAGAAATTCGATATATTCTGAAGTTATTTTTTTATATAGGATAAGGGTGACAAACTAACACACAGTCCACCTGCTGGTAAGTGGTTGCTGTGGCCCATAGACATCTACATATATCTTCGATTAAGAATCAAAATGCAGATGCGTTGTCACCCGTGAGGAATAAGATGGAATGACTCGTTTCCAGTAAAAAGGGTCTCCGGTTCTCTACACTCACCATACGAAACACAGCAGCGTTATAAGCTGCTATTTTACGCTGGTATTCTGTGAGAGCGTGGTCCTTCCCCGGTCGAGCCGACCCATTCGTGCTACAACCATAATATAGCTGCAGCATGGCTCTACCACGTAGAAGTGGTCAAAGGCTAGTCAAGCTCCACAGACTGTAGTGAAACACGAATGAACACGCAATAAAGTGATGCTGTGTGTATGGTGGGATTGGAAGGGCGTGGTTTATTATGAGCTTTTACCGTCGGGCAAAACCATCTATTCATATCTCTACTGCCAATAACTAATGAGACTCAATCAATGAATTGAAAAAAAAAAACGGTCAACAGAAAAGGAGTGTTCTTTCATCCTGGTAACACCAGACCACCCCAACATCTTTGGCAACTCGGCAAAAATTGAGAGAACTTGGTTGGGAAGTGTTAACACATCCACCATATATAGTCCTGATATTTTCGCACCCTCAGATTTGTATAGTGTTAGGTTAACATCAAGAGAGGACTGTCAAAACTACTTGTCGCGTTTTTTTTTTTTTTTCACCAAAACTCCCAAGATTGCTACAGCAACGGGATTATGTCACTATCTACAAGATGGCAACAAGTTATCGAACAAAAGAGCACATATATATTATAATGAAATGTAATTAAACTTTGAAAAAAAAAATGTCTTGAATTTGTACGAGTACATAAAATACGAAGAAAGTTTTTCCCTGACCTATTATAAGAAAAGTTTCTTTATCGTATGGCAGGACGTTTTATTTACACGTGACCTTGAAAAGGGTTTTTGCGACAATAATAAAAACTGAGATCTCTGATTTAGGACATAGAGTTATGCAATATACAACTCTTTGTTTAGTTATTACTATATTATATAATATACCCGGTATCTTACGCATTCACCTTGTGGTGCTATAATAACTCCCACGTAGATGATAATTTCTGATAATTAAATAATTGTCGCCTTGATCGCAAATCGGCTAGGATTATCATCGTAAAAAAGAAAAAGTTGTGTTGCCATTGATCTTCCTATTTTCCTCTCACATTCATGGTCTAATTAGGTTGTGGTAGCTCAGGGCTAATCTCTAGGAATATAATTAAAAAGAACGCAAGCAAACCGAGTTGGATTCCACGGGCACCAACAAAATTGTTAATTGCAATTTTAAGTGCTGATTTACTCTTCGGTAAAGGAAAACATCGTAGCAAAATCTGAGTCTGAGAAATTAAAAAAAAAACCAAAGTGTGAATGGAGATTACCAACACGTATTGGGTAGCGCTGCATACTCTTGCTTGCCCTAAAACTTACATAGATACCTAGAGATCAGAGGAGGCCCAAATGTTTAGATGTTTTGATGACGATTATTCATATTACATTTTTGGTATTTTTATGGAAAATTGCATGCACAGTATTTTATTCTTATGGTAAGTTATTGAAAAGAATGTAGAAAATCAATATAAAATGGGTGCATTTTCAGGCGTCACTCCAAAACCTCGATACGCCTATGACGGAAGACGCTTACCTGATGTTATTAACTTACATCTGAAAGGTAGTCTTATAAAGGAGAATGTTTATTTCCAAAACCGTTATTAAATATATAAAGCACTGGCTTGACAATTTTCAAATGTTAATTAGAGCACCATACGTTTTATGTTTAGATATATTTTTATAGCCTTATAAAAACGTAGCAGATACTTCGTAATATAATTAGTATTTACCAAAGATTTAGAGAACAATTATATTTTTTTAATTATGCACCGGTAAATTTTTTCCCACCAGCTTTTAAAAGTTATGTAATTGTAGAATGTAAATAATTGCAGCACCCTAAATAACCTTAATATTATTATAAAAGAATTAAGTATAATACTTACTTCATAATATCAATATTGTATTAATATAAAACATTGTATGACAAGGTTAATGTTTTTTGTTTTAATTTTTGTTTTGTTTGTAAAACAAATTACAAAAAAATATAAATATTACATGTACCTATGTATATTTATGGCATACGCCATTTATGGAATAAATATTTTTTTATATATATACAGGCTTTCCCAGTATTAGTGGATAATCTGGTACGTGCGTGTTCGGGCGGGGGGAGGTGGCCTTGGTTCCCTAAAAAAAAGTTCTTTCCCGAACGGTTCGCGCTCTACGCCATGTTTTATAAAGTTCCGAAACTTCGTACTTCTGCTCACATTTGTGGACGTCACGTCCGCAGTTTAATGCCTAGATCGGTTTTTTTTTCTTTTAATGTGTTCCCTAATAATGATGTTTCCAAATTATCCTTAAAAGTTTTCACCTATTATGACTAGTATTTTACAAGACGGCACTAAACATAAGTTTTAATTTTTTACTTTATTTAACTGCTAAGTTTGAGCACCTGTAGTGAAAGAAAAACGGATCTGTGTGGCCAACCATTTAAAAAGTTTGCTTACATCATGGGAATTCTAAAACAGTAGCATACCATGCACTTAATGTCATTACTGATTGAGCTATAGCCGTTAATGTGTAAAAGTAGGCATTTCATTACAAAATTACAAAATTATTGGCTGATAGTTTTTTTTTTAACATTGGATGTATTTATTAGGTAAGTACATCTGTTGCCCTTGAAAATTTTACTTTACTACCTGCTCGCCTTGTTTGGACGAATTCTAAGCTGTGTGAGCGAGACAAACAGTTAAAATTGACATGTTCTGTTATGTACAGATGCGTAAATTAATGAAAAGAAAATGAGTTAACATCAGGTGAGCCGCATGCTCGTTTGCCTCCTATTCTATAAAAAAAAAAAAAAAAAGTTATATCCAATTTTTTTTTATTTAAAATTATTTACAGTAAATGCCCGAACTGGCCTCCTCCAGCCCTTATGCAGGCTCTACAACTTTTTCAAATGATCTTATTCCAATTATTTAGAATTTCTGTAAAATAAGCTGCCCCATTTATTAGAAGATGAGCCACTAGCCATCCGGCGAAGAATGTGGCTCCAAAATGATGGTTGGCTAGCACATTACGCCGTACAAGTAAGGAGTTACTTAAACGAAGCCTACCGTGACCGATGGATCAGGCGAATGGGGCCGTTATTGTGGCCACCAAGATCATCTGATCTGAGCAAGTTTATAAAAAACAATTGAAACAATCGACGAACTTAGACTTCGCGTTACAGACGCAGCAAGGGTTATTTCAACCAAAAAATATCAAAAGCTTTTAGAAAGATCATTTAAAAAAGTTGTAGAGCCTGCGTAAGGGCTGGAGGAGGCCAGTTCGAGCATTTTCTGTTAATGATTTTAAATTAAAAAAAAATTGGATATAACTCATTTTCTTTTCATTAATTTACGCATCTGTACATAATAGAACATGTCAAGTTTCACTGTTTGTCTCGCTCACACAGCTTAGAATTCGTCCAAACAAGGCGAGCAGGTAGTAAAGTAAGATTTTCAAGAACAACAGATGTACTTACCTAATAAATACATCCAATGTTAAAAAAAACTATCAGCAAATAATTTTGTAATTTTGTAATGAAATGCCTACTTTTACACATTAACGGCTATAGCTCAGAAAGTAACGATATTAATTGCATAGTATGCTACTGTTTTAGAATCCTCATGATGTAGACAAACTTTTTAAATGGTTGGCCACACAAATCCCATACGTTTTTCTTTCACCACAGGTGCTCAAACTTAGCAGTTAAATAAAGTAAAAAATTAAAACTTATGTTTTTTTTTTTTTATTTCTTTTAAAATGCCGTCTTGTAAAATGCTACCCATAATAGGTGAAAACTTTTAAGGGTAGTTTGGAAACATCATTATTAGGGAATACATTAAGAGAAAAAATCCGATCTAGTCATTAAACTGCGGACGTGATGTCCACAAATGTGAGCAGAAGTAAGAATTTTCGGAATTTTATAAAACATGGCATACAGCGCGAACCGTTCGGTTTTTAGGGATTTTTTTTTAGGGAACTGAGGCCACCACAACATAGACACACTATCTACCACAATTCTTAAAAACTCCAGAATAACTCTTGTTTTATCACGAAAATTAATGAAACTTATTTTATTCCCTAAATTTTTTGAAGACTTTTACTTTTAACCAAATTTAACTTATCGTGGTGTAAAAAAAAAGTATGAACACTAGTATGGCAAGTTTTTTTAAAAATTGACGCAACTAACCAATATTCCAAAATGGTATAATACTGTAGGAAAACAAGTTATAAAAAAATATGGGCCTATTATTTCTTAACAGGGGCCAAATGACGGTCGGGTGTAATAAAAGTATTATTTCTTGAAAAATGTTTAATATTTCAAAACAAATGGTACAAACAGTTTCACGTGTAATTTATTAAGTTATTAACATTATAGCAAATGTTCGAACTGTTTGCCACCAGCATTAATACATGCACGACATCGCCTTAAAAATGATCGTTTTATTTGTCTTGCATATCTTCTGCTATTAATGTAATCAGCAGCCTGAGTGATATTTCGACGAAGCTCGTCCAATGTCACAATGGGTTTTGAGTAGACCCTGTTTTTAAGACAACCCCAATAGAAGAAGTCCAGGGGGTTCAAATCGGGTGAACGGGGTGGCCATAAGATAGGACCAAGTCGCCCGATCCAACGCCCTGGATACTCTTGATTTAAATATTCTCGCACAGGACGGGCATAATGTGCTGGGCAACCATCATTTTGGAACCACATGTTTTGAAGATCACTTAAGGGCACGTCGTTTAACAATTCTTGCAAGTCATTTTGTAAAAAGTTTAAATAACTATTGCCATCTAAGTTTCCTTGTAACTCAAAGGGCCCAATTACTTTTCCATTTAATATGCCGGTCCATAGGTTAACCTTGAATTGATATTGGGATTTGTCTTGTCTCAACAAGTGTGGATTTTCATTACTCCAACTATGTAGATTGTGAAGATTTAAATACCCATCTTTCTTGCACGTTGTTTCATCCGACTATAGAATTTTGTCTAGGAAGTGGGGATCTTCACTGTGCCTTTGCAGCATTACACGGCAAAATGTGACCCGTAGCGGATAGTCCCGCGGTAATAACGTCTGCACACGCCTGTAGTGATATGGGTGAAGCTTGTGACGTTTTAATATTCGATGTGCAGAACTTTTCGGGATTCCTGTAGCTTCTTCTATGGCACGTACCGAAGTAGTCGAGTCATTTTCTATCTCCTTGAGAACTTCTTCATCACGATCCAATCTAGGTCTTCCAGCGCTGCTCCTATTGGATGGCATACGACCCTCCGAAAACGCTTGATGCACATTAATAAACACTCGATAATCAGGATATCTTTGAGCATTTGGGTATCTTTCTGGATACAGTCTGTTAGCAGCGTTAGCATTACATCGGCATTCTCCATAGATTAAATGCATATTAGCGTATTCCTGTGGTGTGTACGGTTGCGGCATGTTAAACGCCAAACAGTCCAAAATGCGCCAGAACTCTAAATCACAAAACACACAATCGTAGTCCAAGATAATGCCAGGTCAGTTCAGTTTGCAGATCACTTCCAGTCCAAATAATGCCAGGTCAGTTAAGTTTGCAGGTCGATTCCAGTCCAAAAAGCCAAGCCAAAAGTCGATAGTATGTACGAGGGCCACGTAAGTTGAATTGGGTACGGTGCGTAGTAAACAAAGGAGCAGAGCGTACTGAACCGACTTGCTGAGAATAATAACAGCTTCTCTACCTGCCCTGTTGTTGTCTCTTTTTAACGTAAATATCTCTATCTATCTATCTCTCTCTAACATCTAAGGTATTAATGCCCCATTCGAATTCCTAGAAATTGTAACAGGAACCCATTTTGGGCATGTAGTAAAAGTGATTACTGACAATTACAATTTAAGGAATTTGGCCTCTGTTAAGAAATAATAGGCCCATATTTTTTTATAACTTGTTTTCCTAGAGTATTATACCATTTTGGAATATTGGTTAGTTGCGTCAATTTTTAAAAAAACTTGCCATACTAGTGTTCATACTTTTTTTTTACACCTCGATAAGTTAAATTTGGTTAAAAGTAAAAGTCTTCAAAAAATTTAGGGAATAAAATAAGTTTCATTAATTTTCGTGATAAAACAAGAGTTATTCTGGAGTTTTTAAGAATTGTGGTAGATAGCAGTACTATTCAGGTTGCCTATAAAAAAAAAAGAAAAAAATATTTAAAAAATTGTGGTCATGGTAGTGAAAAATATCATAAACGGTCTCAATTTCTGAAGAATTTCATTTTTTTTATATAACTTAAAATATAATTGGGATATATTTTTTTTTTCTTTTTTTACCCGATTAGTCCGGGGCAGGTCTATCCTCCGGTGTTGGCTTATCGTTGAATTTTGGGACACGTTGTATATATATATATATATATATATATATATATATATATATATATATATATAAAAATGTCATCGCTACGATAAAAATAAAAGTTAAAAGATTTAAGTTTTGATCACGTATACTTGAATAAAAAAAATATAGTCGTATATAGAAAAAGTTTTCATATTTATTGCACTGTAGTACCTACTCAGAATTATTTAGCTAAAGTAATTTATTTCGCAACATTTAAAACATAACAGCTTATTTTTGATCAGGTCAGATGATCTACATGGACAACTGGCGCATGATGATGTACTTGGGTACTCCTGTTATGCCAGATCTAGCAGCTCTTGTCTCCACTGGTCTTTACATCAACGACTTATCTATGCATGACTTTAGCAGGTACGAGTTATGTATAACATAATAATTATACAACTATTATTAGTAACAAAAAAACATTCTTGTTTGACGTAGAGATAGGGCAAAGTAAATTTCTGTCCCAAAAATTTTTCAAAGTATTTGTGGAAATGGAAATTCAAGAAATAAAATATGCAGTCTTCGCTACTTGTTAAAATTTTGTTTTCATATCTTTATATTGTTGTCTTTTGGGCCATTTTTGATTGCTTGATACATACAACAACGATACAATAAACGCTCGGCATGAGTCGACAGAACGGCGGACAGACCTTACTATACGGTATAAAAATATTTTCATAAAACTATTCGCGGTATGAAGATAGATAATAAGATAAGCACCAAAACTAAATCAAAACATAACACACATTTATTAACAATCATTTAATTGTTTGGATAACGTTATTTATACAATAATAATGACCATAAAAAACTAGACTAAAATTATCATACAGCCATACTCCTCGCGGTATAGTGGCAAAAAAACTGGCTGTATTTTTTCTTCAATGGAAAAAATTAAAATTCTCTTTTTATATATTTGTTGAGGTATATCAAGATTTTTTTTTAACAGAGATTTAATGCTGGCCGGTACTCAACAATCCGTAGAGCTTAAACTAGCATTAGATCAAGAGCAACAAAAAAGTAAAAAGTTAGAGGAGTCTATGAGAAAACTGGACGAAGAAATGAAGAGGACCGATGAGCTTCTCTACCAGATGATACCAAAACAAGTGGCAGATAGACTTCGGAATGGAGAGAATCCGATTGATACATGTGAGGTAAGATAATCGTTCAATTAACATTATTTAAGTCCTATTTATTTGTATTTTACTTATGTTTGCATAGTTGGTAGAGCCATCCTGTATATGCGATTTGTCTAAGTATAATATACGCTTTGAATACCTTATATTTTGAAATTTTACATAGATGATAACGTGACTAGTGTTTACATTAATCAAATACTAACATTGTTTTTTGCGTGTTTATTATGATTTGATGATGAACATCAAATAGGCTATTGAACAACAGAAAAAACGGTTAATTAAAAAAAAACTTCGTACTGTAGGAAAAATGACTGTGTTTTACATTGTATAAACATATAAATTAACGCAATTAATTCACACAAATTGGTAGATAAGTAAAATAAAACCAAACTTTATGAAGGCAGTATTATTATACACTAGGATTATAAAGTCAACTACTTAGGTACTTACTAAAACTCAAACACAAAGTTCTCAACAGTGCAAAATGAAACAAGATAATAATTACAATACGCACATATGTAGAGGTTATCCAGTATTTTATATAAATTATAAACATAAAATAGCTTATTTAAACGCAAGTTAGCAATTATAATCTTGGTGATCATTATATAGGTATAATATTCGCCTCATATTAAACAGATACTAAAGTTAACAAATCGTGCCAGTGAGCGTTTACCAGAGATTTACTACTAAATATCAATAAACCTCTAAAGGAGAGATGTTTATGAGAAATTCATTAAATAGTAATGAATTACCTTTTTATAAGACCTTAATTAAATTTTTTTGACTGCTTCTTTGGTTTAGTGGTCGTAAACTTGACTGATGGTCCTGAGATTCCGGATTCGAATGCTGGGTCAGGTCAATCAATTATTGGATTTATCTAAGAAAAAATTCTAAAAGTAGGCCGGAGTCAGGAAGTTGCCGGTGTTACACCTCCGTGCCTCGGAAAGCACGTAAAGCCGTTGGTCCTGCGCCTGATCACTTTCCGGTCGTACCGTCCCAATAGAAATTGCACCTGTGCTTATTACACTCTGCTTATTACACCTGTGCTTATTACACTTTTTCATTGGTGGTATTGTTTAAATTACTTAACCCGAATATCGCCTTTACTATTATATATTAACGTGTTTCATCGTTTACAGATGTTCGACAGCGTGTCCATACTATTCTCTGACGTCGTGACCTTCACAGAGATCTGTTCCCGCATCACGCCTATGGAGGTGGTATCTATGCTTAATGCCATGTACTCCATCTTCGACACTCTAACTGAGAGGAACCGCGTTTACAAGGTCAGTATAACACTGTAATTGAGAAAGTGTCAGTTATGAAACTGTCACCTTTTAATTTCTTTTTAATATAGTGCAGTAGAGTTGAGAACCGTGGTGACTCAGGTAATAAGCGCTTACTTTAAATTTCACAGTACACGAGGTACCCGGGTGCCATCCCCGCTAGTGCTAATGAAGTTGTCAATAACAATTTTAAGTGAATGATTTACCACTTGCTCGGAGGTATAAGGAAAAAATCGCCAGGAAACCTGCTTATTTTTATAACATGGGGGTGACAAATGAACACACAGTCCACCTGATGGTAAGTGGATCCTGTAGCCCATGGATATCTACAATTATCTTCGATGAAGATGCGGTGTCACCCCTGAGGATTACGAAGGAATGCCTCGTTTCCAGTAAAAAGGGTTTCCGGTTCTCTACACTCACCATACGAAGCATTAAGCTGCTATTTTACGCTGATATTCTGTGAGAGCGTGTTCCTTCCCAGTCGACCCATTCATGCTACAACCATAATATAGCTGTAGCGTGGCTCTACCACGTAAAAAATAAAAAAGTGCTTGTCTAAAAAATTAATTGCCGGAATAACATGAGAAATCCGCCAACACGCAATAGAGTAACACGTAATGATGGTATAAATCTATTGAATAAAAGATTTATACAAACAGATGTGTACAAGCTTGATTGTGAATGTGGTCTCTCTTACATAGTTCAAACAAAAAGATCTATAAAATCTATAAAAGAACGTATAGCTGACGTGAAACACCGACGCTCCGGGAAGTCCGCAGTTCGTGATCATATCCTAGACGGCCCACGCCATTACATCAGATTTAATATACGACAAACTCTAGTGAAAGAACATCGGTTTCCACCAAGAATGCCTGTTGCTGTGATGAAAAAACATCCTAATTTCAATAGATAAAGAGGCTGGATACTACCACCTGCTTGAGATCCTGTAATTAATAAGATAAAACTAAACCCAAGCGTACAATTACAAGACTTCAAGACAATAAGCTAAAATTTGATGGTACTCCAGGTTAACTTTGACATCGGGACATCAACCACCTGTGTCCCCGTATGACCGTAAGTGCTGCAAAGCACCCGAAACGTCGGAAATTCAAAATATGCAACGTGATAAAACCTTTAAAAATAGTTTTATTCAACTTAAATCTGAAAACCAACTCAGTTTTTAGGGTTCCGTAACTCAAAACGAAAAAACGGAACCCTTATAGGATCACTTTGTTGTCCGTCTGTCTGTCTGTCTGTCTGTCAGTCTGTTTGTCTGTCAAGACGCTTTTTCTCAGGAACGCGTGGAGGTATCAAGCTGAAATTCATATCAAATACTCAAGTCTACTGTCCCTTAGAGCTGTGAAAAAATCAAACTCCTAAGCCAACGCAATCAAAAGATACAGCCGTTTATGCCGTAAATTTTCGACATTCGCAAGGGAATCAAAACCTACAGGGTACTTCCCGTGAACTCAGAATCTTGCAATTTGGTACGAAGCAACGTTTTATAGCACAGATAAAGGAAAAAATTGCGAAAAGCATAAATTTTTAGTTACATCATATAATAAAAATATTTTTAATAATTTTAAACTTATATACCTACAGATTTGTTCGGAACCCTCGGTACGCGAGTCTGACTCGCACTTTGCGGGTTTTATTTATAAAGAATAAGTGTGACAAACGAGCACGAAGTCCACCTAATGGTAAGTGGATGCATAGACATCTACATTGATCCTCGATTAAGAATCAAAATGCAGATGCATTGTCACCGCTGAGAACTAAGATGAAATGCCTTGTTCCCAGTAAAAAGGGTCTCCGGTTCTCTACACTCACCATACTTGAACTCAGGCGCAAAGTAGCCTGGTTTCGGTTTTCTACAGGATGCATTTCGGAGATTATGCGCAGGAATTGCATAATTTAATTCCTCCCTCTCCGTTCCACCTTCGAACAACCAGACGTTGAGCCAGTCTCCATACTTTCGTTGTTGACTTACCACGCATTCGAACCAAACGGTTTGCTATATCATTCATCATTCGTACAGCAAAGTAGTGGAATAAGTTGCCAGCATCTGTGTTTCCATCCGATTAATCGGGTGTCCTCAAGACAACAGTGAACAAGCTTTTGTTAAGGCAATGCGTTTCACCATCTTAGCTGGAATTGTAGAATAGCTTATAGAATAATATTAAAAAAATACGCTGTTATTATGTGAGAGCCCAGTCGAGCCAATCCATTCGTGCTACAACTGTAATATAGCTGCAGCGTGGTTTTACCACCTATAAAGATAATACGTTAAAAGACACTACTAAAAGTAACATATTTGAATTTATAATTATTTACTATTGATAGTGTCAGCTACCGAATGGATCCCTATTTTCTATTAACTACAATATCATTAATTCTTTAAAACTATGGTATAAAAAAAAACCTATTTTCTACTAAAGTGCCAACTCAGCCATAGTAAAAAAGCTTTGTATAAAAAGTAATCCACTTTTAGAGCTTTGAGTAACTTAACTTTTGTTCGGAAAACAACAATAAAGACTTTTATTAGTTGATTTTCTACTTCGTAAAGGTTTAGCCTAAGACTCAATAAAATGTTTTTCATCAGAACTCCGTTTATTTTATGACGTTTTATTACTATTCTTGCGTATGACACATCTCCATGTACAAAACAGTATTTTTGCGTGATATATATGTAATTAAGCGGCAAACAACTTACATACAAGATTTTTAAAGCAGATAAAATTACATAATATATCGTTTTACAAGTTACATGTATTTTCATTATGTCGACATGTGTCTGACAACGCTATCATATCTCTATCGCAAAACCCTAATTTAGAATACAGGAATGTTAAAAACAATTACGTATCCCAATTAAGTGTTGCTTGTTAACGTCGCTATAAATTAACCAGAGCAGTTGATGATAGCTTTAGATTGTAACCGCAAGACGTCGCTTTTATTTTATGCTGTGGAATAAAGTTCTAATTTTTCTATAGAGACTGGACTCTACTTTGATAGACAGTGCCACTACACTACTAGTTAAGTGCAAAAAAATAAAAAATTGATTATAAACTTTGATTTATTGAAGTGAATCCCCGTTTAGTGGCGGGTAAGAATACCCACTACTCCATATCTTCCCATGTTGTCGTAAGAGGCGGCAGACGGAAACTAAAGCTTCTGCTTTAGTTTCCGTCTGCCGCCGATGGGCAGCAGCATCTTTCTGATAACAGCAAAACAACAATAAGAAAACTACGGTTGCCAACCCGCTCGCCAAGCGTGACAACTATGGCAATATACCCCCCATGATTAAAGTTACGAAGAGACGTCCCCAGTCCCCGGCGGCCCCGCTATTCCTGGCTACGGTGGCGACCATGGTAACGACGGGGCAGGGGGTGCTAAGAATCTTCGGTGGAGGTTCTGTTGCCACCTAAGACGACTCAACCTGGCAACATATAACGCACGCACCCTGAGAACTGACGAGAAGATCCTGGAGCTGGAAGAAGAGATAGACAAGTTGCGCTGGAATATTATAAGATTATCCGAAGTCCGAAGAAAGGGGGGGGACATGGTAATCCTCGAATCCGGGAACTTGTTCTATCACCGGGAGGGCGACCATTTGTCCCAAGGAGGTGTCGGATTTATCGTCCAAAAGTCTCTAGTTAACAACGTTGTAAAACTTGAGTGTGTCGACGAGCGTTGCGTACCTTATATTCAGGTAAACGGTATTCGCTGAAGGTCATACAGGTTTACGCACCAACCTCGGCACATTCCGATGAGGAGGTGGAGGAAATGTATGAAGATATATCTAGAGCTATGCATTCCCCCAAAACCCACTATTCGGTGTTAATGGGAGACTTCAACGCAAAACTAGGTACAAGAAAGAACGGTGAGCTGAAGGTAGGGAAATTTTTAATAAGGCAGTGGAACCAAAGGGACCAGCAGATGGCTGAGTTCATGGAGAAAGAGGGACTCTTTACGGAACTCTTTCTTTCAGAAGCGCCCCCACAGCAAGTGGACCTGGTCGAGCCCCGACGGTTCGACAAAAAATGAGATTGACTTCATTATGACGACCAGACGACAACTGTCCAATGCTCAACGGTCAACACTCCGTCCTCCTCGTGCTTTAATCTAAAGTCCCGGAACCTTTTAACTCGAGCTACAAAACCGTTTTCAGTGCCTAGAATATTGCAATGCAGTGGACGATATGAATGACAAGGTCGTGGAAACTGTCTATGCGGTCGAAGCTAAGTTTTGCAAGACCCGCCACAGAAGAACACAAAAACTCTCCGATCAAATTCTTAATCTGTTAGACGGGAAATGAAGCTGCAGTCTTTAGCCGATTTGACAGTATACAGGCAACTGAAGAGACAGATCTCCAAAGGCATGCGGAAGGACTTACGCAACTTCAACACAGCTCGTATTGAAGAAGCGATCGAGCGGAACCAGGGCTCCAGTCTCTGTCTGCCAAAACGAGCCAACTGTCAAAGCTGAAGACCGAGTGTGGCAGTGTCGTTTCCGGGACACCTGAGATTTTGAGTGAGATTGAGACGTTCTATAAGCAGCTGCATAACGATCCAAGAACAAGTCTTATCCGACACTATTACGATGACATTCCGGACGTCAGTCTGAACGAGATTAGAATGGCTCTCCACCACCTTAAAAACGGCAAGGCCCCAGGCGAGGATGTAATTACAGCGGAGCTTGAAAGCGGGTGGAAAACCGGTACATGGAGTCCTTCAGAAGCTCTTTAATTCCGTCCTCCATGGCGGCACTACACCTTTGGCGTGGAGCAGAATTACGGTGGTCTTATTTTTCAAGAAAGGTGAGAATGCTTTTTTGAAGAACAACAGACCGATTTTCTGTTGCTGTTGTGCTGTTTTCAAAAGTCATTACGAATCGTCTCGCATGCAGACTCGAGGACTTCCAGCCTCCCGAGCAAGCCGGTTTCCGAAAAGGCTTTAGCACCATAGACCACATATATACCTTTCGGCAAATTGTAA